TTATAGTTATCTACTTTTTTAAAGAAAAGCAGCAGAAGGGCGTGTGACAGGCTCATTATCCTGTTAGAAAGCATTAAAGGAAAGGAGGGAGAAAAGAGATTTCAGAGCTAGAAAGAGAAATCAGGTCGCAATGGCCATGCTGGGAGATGTCCAGAATTAGCAGGAACATTGGCTGGAGGACTCCTCTGGAGAAAGCCAAGAGACACTAGCCAGGCCAGCCAATCTGTGAGCCCTGAGCGAAGCGTTTTCACCTGTGATGGAAGGAAGCCCTGAGCAGCCCAGGCAAAACGAAAAGCTCTGCTGTTTCTGTAAGAATGCGGGAATCAGAAGCAAAGGCTCAACCGTGGGCAGAAGTTGAAGGCATCAGCTGGAGCCAGTGGCACCGTCAGAGCCAGGACGAGGAAGGGTTAGCGGACCACAAGGGGAAGGCAAAGAAAGCACTCTGGAAAAGGCTGTTTCGTGCTCTAAATTGATGCCAAGCCAATAGCAAAAACAAAGCTGAAAAGTCACCTACCTTCAACTTCTAATTTTACATATGAAGAAACCAAGGCCCTTTAAAGGGGAGTGATTGTGTGATGTGGTTTGATATGCCTGGCGTGTTGAGACAATGCTTGCGTGTGGCCATTCATGGCAGTAGACAGAGGAATGGAATGCTCAGCACAGATAAACCAAGGAAAACCTGTACACTTGGAGGGGAGAGTTTTAGAAGGAAAATCCACTCCCACCATCATTTTATTGTGATCCTAGGTAGTGATAATGAAAAATAACTGAGGTTAGTGGCAGCAGGAAAATACAAGGCAAGTGAAACTTACAGTTTGGTGGCTAACGGGGGAACATGTATTTGATAACCCCAAATATACCTTCTATTTACAGTAGAGGTTGAAAACCCAAATGCCTTGAAGATGAGGTGAATCTGTGAACCAGACCAGTGTAGGGCATCTGGATATGGTACAGATCAGCAAACAGGAAGGAGGGATGCTCTACATAAAGCAATTTGCATTCAATTTTTAAAAAAAACACTGGCCCAAGATGCCTGACTAGCTCAGTCGGTAGAGCGTGAGACTCTTAAAAACACTGGCCTTGCCAAAGGAAACACAGAGGTTGGCTCCGTTTCCATGTCACCAGTTTGCAAACACTGTTCTGTACAGTGTTAAAACATAAAACATCATTAAACACGGTGTTAAAACATAAAACCTCATTAACATAGTGTTAAACATGAAAATGAAAAGTCCTAACATTTTCCCACCTACATATTGATAAAAGGGATATTTTAGCACTTAGATGGTGTCTATCTCCTCCTTAGGAAAAAGAGGCGGTGGGGAGATAGCCTTCCCCTCCAGCACCAAGCATAGTGTTTGAAATATTCTATTAATGGTGCTTAAGGTCAAGCTCGAGGGCTCACTCCTGTAATCCCAACTCTTTGGGAGGCTGGGGTGGGAGAATTGAGTGAGGCCAATCGTTCAAGACCAGCCTGGGTAATATAGCAAGATCCCAGTCTCTGCAAAAAAATATATTTTTTTAAGTTAGCCAGTCATGGTGGATCACACCTGTAGTCCTAGCCACTCAGTAGGCTGAGGAGGGGGGATCATTTGAGCCCAAGAGCTCGAGGCTGCAGTGAGCTATGATGACAAGACTGCATACCAGCCTTGGTGACAGAGTGAAGCCCTTTCTCTTAAAAAGAATGCTACTTCATAAATGTTTGTTGAATGAATACATAGGGTTATAATAGAGCAAGGTACTACCTGGAGACAGAACAATAACTTCTTTTTTAAGATTATAAAACTAAGGTGGTAGATCTCCAACTCTAACCCCCCTCTTCCCCTTCGGGATTTATTTTGAAACCCCAGCATCTTTGTGCAAGGCCAACGACTTCAGTCTTATGACCTCTCTCATCTCATTGCTCTAGCAGAGATCAGACCATGGGCAGCCTTCCAAGAACACTTATCCACCCCCATCTTTTCCAAAATGATTTATAGGCAGCTGTTGTAATACTTTTGTTTTTCCTCAGCCTCTCAGTTTTTTGTCCTAACTCTCCCAACCCCCACCCCACCCCAAAGTAGGTCCATTTAAAAAAAACTTATTCACCTACTATTTCATAATAGATAATAATATCTACTTATTACAGAACTCGCTTCCTCAGGGGTATCCAAGCAGACTTTTAGTTTTGGGGAAATGGGGCAAGGGAACTTGATTTTTTTATTTTCCAGAGTAATCAAGTTAAAACAAAGGAACATCAGAGCTCACTGTAGCTCCCTGACTTAGTGGTTGTTGAGAACAAAGAGGGGGTGCCCACCTCCCAGAGTTGTGAGGAGTAAATATTATGTATGTAAAAGGCTTGATTAGTGCCTGGCACATAGTAAGCACTTGGTGAACAGTGGATATTATTATCTATTGTGGAAATGGTAAGTGAATGATTGGGGGTTTTTTTGAGACAGAGTCTCACTTTGTTGCCCAGGCTAGAGTGAGTGCCGTGGTGTCAGCCTAGCTCACAGCAACCTCAAACTCCTGGGCTCAAGCAATCCTTCTGCCTCAGCCTCCCAAGTAGCTGGGACTACAGGCATGTGCCACCATGCCCGGCTAATTCTTTCTATATATATTAGTTGGCCAATTAATTTCTTTCTATTTATAGTAGAGATGGGGTCTTGCTCTTGCTCAGGCTGTTTTTGAACTCCTGACCTTGAGCAATCCTCCCGCCTCAGCTTCCCAGAGTGCTAGGATTACAGGCATGAGCCTCACAGCTACGAATGGTTGTTTTTTAATGGACCTACTTTGGGGTGAGGGTGTGGGAGAGTGAGGACAACAACCTGAGAGGCTGAGGAGAAACAAAAATATTTCAACAGTTGCCTATAAATCATTTTGGAAAAGATGCGGGTGGATAAGAGTTTAAAACGTGAAAATTCCCTACATTCAAATACAAATCCTTTTATATACATATATATACTGAGATATGCATAGAATTCCTCTGGAAGGATAGCAGTTAATAATTAATAGTGGTTACCTCCAGAGAGGGGACTTGAACTGGAACAGCAGCTGGGGAAAGACTTTTACAAATGTTTGCTATGTGTCTATATTACCTATTAAAAATTCATAATTCATTTTTAAATTTAAAGCTACCACTTGAAAATTTCTCCCAAGTTTTGTCAAATTTTCACACAACTGTGCAATACTGTCTGCTTTCAGCCTTTACTGACTGTCACAGCCCTGATACCGCCCCCTGGTGTCTGGTACCCACCACTGCGGCTGCTCTGGACCTGTTCATCTCACCAATACTCACCAGGTTAATATTAGTACTCCAAAGTCATCATAGTAAAAAATCTAGGTACTGCGAAGGATGACAGTACCTCATGCCTCATTCCTGCTGACCCTGGATAGCAGTTAGGGGTTGGGGGTAGAAAGTGAAAGATTATTTGAGTTACAGTGTCTCTTTTCATCTTTTCAATTTTTTCCATTTTAAACTTAACATACTTTTCGCAAGCAAAAAGGAAGGACTTTTCTACTTTCTCAATTGTATCTCAAGCACACATCACTTCGGCAATTAAATTTGTATTAATTTATCATTTGCTACAGTAACTTCCTTTTCTGGATATGTTGAAATAGAGATCGTTGATCCACATTCAGAATTTTCTCCTGTGCTTTAATTTGGGCAAAAGTTTCTGAACTCTGTTTCAGACATTTTAGTTGTTCTATATTCTATTTAATATCATGATGTACATTTTTTTTGAGACAGAGTCTCACTCTGTTGCCCATGCTAGAGTGCCGTGGCCTCAGCCTAGTTCACAGCAACCTCAAACTCCTGGGCTCAAGCCATCCTTCTGCCTCAGCCTCCCAAGTAGCTGGGACTACAGGCATGCGCCACCATGCCCAGCTAATTTTTTTATATATACATTTTTTAGTTGTCCAGCTAATTTCTTTCTATTTTTAGTAGAGACGAGGTCTTGCTCTTGTTCAGGCTGGTCTCGAACTTCGGAGCTCAAATGATCCTCCCACCTCAGCCTCCCAGAGTGCTAAGATTACAGGCGTGAGCCACTGTGCCCAGCCGCTGTACATTTTTTAAAGAAATGTATTTAGTATTTCAAAATCAATATGTTCTCATTGTACAACTATTTTGGAAAATACAGTAAAACATGAATAATAAAAACAAAAAAAAGCCTTTATACATAACCAAAACATTTGCACCCCTGTAATATGCTGAAATTTTTTTTAAAGCCCTAATTTCACCATCAATAGAAAACTGCTGTTAATATCTGTATTTCCTTCTAGTTCTTCTAATACCTGTATGTTTTTATACATAGCTTTCATGCTCAATTTTGAAGTGTTCAAAGTGTCTAATTCCATGTATACACATTAAAAGCCTGTCTTGGTTAAATATTACAAAGATATTCTTATTAGAAATACTGCATTATCAGAAACTGCAAGGCATGTTTGGATATAAGGGTAGAAGGTCATTTTGAACATACCCACTATTCAGGATTAGTATAGGCTCTTTTATAAATGCCTTGTTTTTGCAGGTGTCCTGGTTCTGGGGGAAAAAAAAAAAAAGAAAAAAACGAAAGAAAAAAAGAAAAATGCCTTGTTTGTGCCCGGTTAGACTGGATGTGTATCACACATAAGATCACACTTCCAGCTGAAGTTTCTTCCAGGACATTGCCTCCTCATTCCATAATCTCGAATCCTTGGCCTTTGACAAATATCTGGGCACTGAACGGAATTGTTAAGGGCCTCTCTGGAGGGATGATCAGAGTGGAAGACCCTCGAGGGGCAAAAAGGGACGGCGCACAGGTAGATTTGAAACTTGTTTGGCAACCTCTTTTTTTCCTTCTTCTTATTTTACTTCTTGGTGTTTCCACCCGTTTGGGAAAACAATCTCGATCGTCTCCACAGGTCATGTTCTCAACAAGCTGCAGGCCCGAACAAAGGCTGGTGGGCGTGTTCCCCGCCCGAGGCCCGCGTTGGGCCGCGCCGGGGCCGGGAGACCCTCCCCGCGCCGAGCAGCGGGTATAAAGTCGCCGGCAGCCACCGCCGGGCAGCTCCGGGCTTCGCAGGGGCAAGGCTCGCGTCGCCGGTTGCATCCCTGCCGACTACCTTTTGGACACCACGAAGATGGCACCCGTTGGGGGCAAAACGGCCAAGAAGGTGAGTCGCCAGCGCACCCGAGGGCGCCCTCCGTCCCGCAGCCCGGGCGAGCGCAGAGGGGCCCCGGAGCCCGCTGTGGACCCAGCATCCTCCTACCCCCCTCCGACCAAGGTGTGCTTCCAGAACTACTCCTGCAGGGCCCGGCGCGCCTCTGAGCCTCCCCACTCCCGCCCCACGTCCTGCGCGCCTCTCCCGCCCCTCCACCCCCGGCCCCGCTTGGGAGCAGAGCGCACCCCAGAGCGACCCATGCGATGCTTGCCTCGCACCCAAGGGCACCCTCTGAGCCAGCCCCGACGGAGGGCGCCCCAGAGCCCTGAGACTCCCAACACCTTCTGTGTGCAGCACCCCAAGACCAGGAAACTCCCCCAGAGATGCTGCTCCCAGCCCCACGGGCGCGGTCCCGCCCCACGGCGGTGGCACAGGTGGCGCCCCGCCGCGCGCGGGGATGCGGGCGTCTGCGCCGCCGCGGCCGCCGCCAGCCCCTCTGCGCCCCGCGCGGGCCGGCTGGGGAGGAGCGCCGCGCCGCCCCGACCGTTTCCCGCCGCGCGGGCCCGCGCCGCTGCGTCTCGGGCCTCCGCCCCGCCAGGTTCTCGCGGCGCCCCAGCTGCACCCAGGGCCCAGGCGTTGGTCGGGCGATGGTAGGTTTTCACCTGCAACTTGTTTCCGCGGTCTCCAGAAAAATGCACCATGCGAGCCTCAAAAACACGATTTAAGGGGAAAAAATGGGCAGAGTGGCTGTAAGATACTGAGGAAGGGCTGTTAATAAGACTTTAAAGCCCCCAAATCCAGCGGTTCCAGCTCCTGATGAACAACAAGTCCATCTCTTCGCTTTCCCAGCGGCCTGTTGGGACAACTATCTTCAGCCCAGACGGTCGGCCTTCCTCTAGCTTGGGAAGTGGGTGGATGGACGGACTGACTGCAGGGGAGTGTGGCTGGAGGCGTGGGGAAAGAGGGAAGGATGGAGGGAAGAGGGCATAATATATATACTTGGCCCTTTGGTACCAAAACGCCCAGCTCCAGGCCTGGCACAACAAAAGCTCCTAGGAAGTGGTAGGGTGGCAGCCTCTCATCCTCAGTGCCCGCCCTGCTGGGAAACCACCCTGGGTCACCCCCAAATCGAAAAGACCTCCAAGACCTCCACAAAAGGGAAAAGGTTAATTCAGTCAAATATTTTAAATGCCATGCAGCATTGATGGATACATGTTGATGGCATGAAGTATTGAGATGACAAGCAATTATAAGCTGTCACCAGTTAAAGTAGATTGAGAATTCCTGCCAGTTCTTGAATGCACTAAATGAATAGTCTGTGTAGATGAGAAAGGATGATTCCTATAGAGATTTAATTTGTGTGTGTGTGGTTGCAGGGAAGGGGTGTTCATACAGCCATGGATTCTCACCCATTCCCCAAACTCATATTCAGAAAATTTAACATTTTAAAGAAGTATCTTTAAAAGATTATCTAAGCAACAGATGGTCATAAGATGGAAAAAAGAGTTTCCTCAGTACCTTGTTTCCATGTCTGTCAGTGCTAAAACATTGACAATAACATGTCTCCACATTTGAGTTTAAAATTAAGATATATATTACAAAGCTAACACATGTTCATTATAAACAACTAGGAAAAGCAGAAAGCACAGTGCCTGCTAAATTTCAACATATATTCTGCTAGTTTTTTGTCTAGGCAAATATGTACTTTTTAAACAAAAATGGGCTGATATTATGCACACTGTTTTGTAACATTTTCCCAAAACAGTATCTTTTGTTTATAGCACATTCCACTTTTTAAAAAAATCTGTTCACGGACAGAAAATCCTGACGTCCAGGTAATTAAAACTTGCAGTAGAATCTAAGAGATAGCATTTCTAGATGAAATTGCTCAGAAAATTTATGAACAGCATGGTAATTGAATCACCACCACCCACCCAACCATCAAATATTAGCTTTTTAGCTGTACCATGTTTTAAAATGTTGTGGTACTAAAGTTTGAAAACACACAAGTTCAGTGAGAGCTGCTAACTGCCAAAATGTCATGAATGGTTTCACCCAAATGAAAGTTAGTACCAAATCATGTCTCATATATGTGACCCTTTCTCATGTTTTTGATATAACTACACTGGCAGCAGTATACACACACACAGAGACATACATACATATACACATATATATGTTGTTGTTGCTGTTAACTGGGTCATAATAAGCAAAGTTGTAGTTTTAAGATGTAGCATGTAGATACATTGTAATCATGTGAGCCATTCTATATTTTTGTATTTGCTTGTTATGGACTTTCAGGCTTGAACATTTTTTGATCTGAAAGGGGTATTAGGGAACATATGGCATACCCCTTCCACTGCTCTAAGGTAAAAATGTTAATTTCCTCTCTCTGAGAACCGGCTGCCCAAATGGCATGGGGAAGGGGCAGTGGAAGGAAAGAGGATTAAAATGAGGGAGGCACTAAGAAGATGGCAAGGAATTAGGGTGTAAAATCCTCTGTATGAATGCCTCACAGATTTATCTAATGCTTGTTTTATATCAGCATTTGTTTTATCCACGTTATTGGTGGTAAATGGATCACAATAGGTAAGTACATCCCAAGTTATTCCTTTACACACTTTTTTCAGGACTGTCCCAGTCCCTACACCCATTTAAAATCCAGTCTAGATATCATTTAAGAATGAAAGAGTCAGGATGCCCTATGGTCCCCAACTGTGAGATCCTGTGTAAATTACTCAAGACCTTGTGGAATTCCTCATTTGTTAAAATCAGAGAGAGAGAGACCTAAATGGAATGTAGGGTACCTTTTATTTTTAAAATCTATGGTTCTTTGAAATTACAAAAAAAAATGGTTATACTAGAAAATTACTTTCTAATTCACAAAAGCCTTTAAAAATATTCCAAACTTATCTGTTGAACATTAACAGCAGGATGATTATTGCATAGTGCTGTAAATGGAATAGATATGGAGATTGGGCTGGAAATTCATTTACAAATACTTTATTTACTGGTTGCTTTCCTGTTCTTGTCATAGAGTGCAGAATGTGCATGCTCATCACTTCCTGGACTTTGTAACATAGTTACCTATGTGGAAACTGAATTTTAGCATCAAAGATGGAAGTCTTTAAGTGATTTGGCCACCTTTGTGGTAGAGTCTTTTTCAGACATAACATCTTCCCACAGTATTCTTCAAACACTCTTTAATGTGTTCTGAAGGACACCCCCCCCAGCACATATACACAAGTTTTCATTATATTAATGTGAGCATTCTGGTTGTTTGCCTTATAGGTAGCCATAAATTTATGTATTTAAAAAATGTATACACTTGAATTTTTCTGAAAATTGTAAAGTAATCGTACCTCTCAAGAATATGTTAATAGGCCAGGCACGGTGGCTCACCCCTGTAATCCTAGCACTCTGGGAGGCCCAGGCGGGTGGATTGCTCGAGGTCAGGAGTTCGAAACCAGCCTGAGCAAGAGTGAGACCCCCGTCTCTACTATAAATAGAAAGAAATTAATTGGCCAACTAATATATATAGAAAAAATTAGCCAGGCATGGTGGCGCATGCCTGCAGTCCCAGCTACTCGGGAGGCTGAGGCAGGAGGATTGCTTGAGCCCAGGAGTTTGAGGTTGCTGTGAGCTAGGCTGATGCCACGGCACTCACCCTAGTCTGGACAACAAAGCGAGACTCTGTCTCAAAAAAAAAAAAAAAAGAATATGTTAGCAAAAGTAATAAAAATAGAAAATTATCTTTAAAACTCAAATAACTCCTCCCCCCCCTTATCTATAATTTTAGGGCATCCTAGAACGTTTAAACGCAGGAGAGGTGGTGATTGGAGATGGAGGGTTTGTCTTTGCACTGGAGAAGAGGGGCTACGTAAAGGCAGGCCCCTGGACTCCAGAAGCCGCTGTGGAGCACCCAGAAGCAGGTTGGTGCAGAGCTCTATTCTACCTTCTCATAAAAGGCACTATGTTGACTCAAGTCTAGGAGTATATCATCAAACAGGTAAGTTCATGCAACATTTTCCAAATGGTGTAATTGCCTGCTGGGCACTGTGCTAGGTACATGAGTGTAGATTCACACATCGGATAAGCATGGTGGCCCTCCTTGTTGCTGTCAGCTATCTACCTCCTAGTCCCTGCCCCTCACCCTAGAGTAGCCTGGAACCTAGCTCACTGCCTTCTTCTGTGCTCCTGCCTCTCTCACCAGTCTAGGTAACTTCAGCCTCCATGCACAGGATCCATCCAACCCCAGCACTTTGCCTGGGAGTGCCTTGATCTCCTCCTCACCTCCAGGGAACTTTTCTTCCACCTCATGTCAGCAGCCTACTCCTAGACTTTGCCATCACCAGAGCTCCCCACAGAGAGGTCCTCTCTGACCACCTCCTGTCTTTTCTGTGCACTCTCTCTAGTACTCCCACTCTCCGCCTCATCAAGACCCTCAGTTCTTTGTCCACGTCAGTTTAGTGTTTATTATTCATTCTCCCCCATGTGTCTGGACTTTGCTCCTCACCCACTGTAGGTTCCACGGCAGTACATCATAACCACTGTCTTGCAGATAAGCTCGCCCTCCACTGTGTATTTACCAACTAGTTAAATTCATAGTATTCTAGCCCAGCCCTATTTAAATCTAATTATATACCTATTCTGCACCTGCACCCGTGCACTTTATTCTCACTTTACTTTTTTGACTAGGAATCTTTTATCACCAGAAGAGTAAGTGGGATACAGCCTGGGTGGGTAAATGCTATCTTCCAAGACAAGGCAGGGTCCTCAAGCAGGAGGGAAGCATTGATCTCTGAAAAGGGAGGACTGGGCCATTTCTGCAGTTCCAGAGAGTTCAGAGGGGATCTGGATGTTCAAGGTTTTTGGGTGAATCCACCCATATGTCTTAACCCCCAGCCTCAGAGTCCCAGTTCTTCCTAATCAGAGCCCTGACTGTGGCATAGCAGGCTTGCCTGGTTGAGAGCTCTTCTATATAACTCAGTCTTGAGCCAAATCTTCAGCTCTTTCTGCTCTCTAGCTGCAAGGGATGAGTCTCTTTATGTGCCACCCAGAAGACCCTCAGACTTTCAGACTTTGCCTTAAGTGGGGGATTATTCACCCTTAGCCTTGCATTGTCTTTCTTCAGTGCATTGATGCTATCCCACAATAGCTATCTGATTCCATAGTCCTTGTATTTGCTACTTCCCCTGAACCTCTCAGACATCTGAGATACTACACCTGCTAGTGCATTCCCTTCCAAGGGTGGCCCACCACCCACCGGGGCTTAATAGTTGCACTCCTAGAGCATTTGAGGAGCTAGCAGTTCTCCTGCTACCAGAAGTGATGAGTGGGTGCTCATTACCAGCTGGCTGGAGGTAATCCAGCTCCACAATGACGCTGTCAGAGTTTTTCCTAGAACTGATCCTGGCTCCAACTGTTGAAGGTAGGGCCACCCAGGAGACAAATTCTGAAGGGAGACTTGTGTACAGGAGTTTTATTAGAAAGTGCTTTTAAGACACAATCCTGGCCAGGTGTAGTGGCTCAGGCCTGTAATTCCAGCACTTTGGGAAGCCAAGGCAGGAGGATCACTTGAGACCAGCAGTTTGAGACCAGCCATAGTGAGATCTTGTCTCTACAAAAAAATTTTAAAAATTAGCCAGGCGTGGTGGTGCATACCTGTAGTCCCAGCTACTCAAGAGGCTGAGGCAGCAGGATCACTTGAGCCCAGGTGTTCAAGATTGCAATGAGCTATATGATTGGGCCACTGCACTCCAGCCTGTTGACAGAGTGAGACCCTGTCTCTGAAAAAAAAGAAAAGGAAAGTAATAATTCCTGTAAGGGAGTGAGAGAAGCAAGACTGGGCAGAGGGAGGAATTAAACTGCGAAGCAGTTGTAGCAAGGCCATTGATCCTTCCAGGATTTCTGAAGTTGGACAAGCCCTTTCAGAGCTGCCTTGATGAAGTAAGGTGGTTGGGTCTTTGTGTCTGCCCCCCACCAGTAGACCTAGCACTGCATGCCAGCTGTCAGTCCTCCGCCCAGGAGGGGGCCTAGCCTTGGGCAAGGGAGCTCCCCTTGGCTTCGGACACTTTCTGGAGTGTCACCCAGAAGCTATCAGCACCCAACCCTTCTGGCAGCTGGAGGAAGGACTCACCTGCAGTAAAGATCTGGGTGGCACAAGGTACCAACCTCTACTGCCTCCTTTTTGTCCCCTTGATTATGTTAAGCCTGTCCTCCCCCTCTTAGACTGTTGCACTAGCTGATCCTTCTAACCATGACCTGCTCTCCCTAATGCTAGTCTGTTTCTTTGGTTGCCTAATCTAAAGTAGCCCCATGGTCACTGTTAATTCTCTTTATAACTTCTTTATTGTTCTGTTTTCTTTTCTTTTTTTCTTTTTTCTTTTTTGAGACAGAGTCTCACTTTGTTGCCCATGCTAGAGTGAGTGCTGTGGCATCAGCCTAGCTCACAGCAACCTCAAACTCCGGGGCTCAAGCCATCCTCCTGCCTGAGCCTTCCTAGTAGCTGGGACTACAGGCATGCGCAACCATGCCCGACTAGTTTTTTCTATATATATATTAGCTTGCCAATTAATTTCTTTCTATTTATCGTAGAGACGGGGGGTCTCGCTCTTGCTCAGGCTGGTTTCAAACTCCTGACCTCGAGCAAATCCACCTGCCTGGGCCTCCCAGAGTGTTAGGATTACAGGCGTGAGCCACCGTGCCCGGCCTGTTTTATTTTCTTGATAACACTGTCTGTTTTCTATGTTTTTTATTATTGTTGTTATTTGCCCACTGGTAACTTTACACTCATTCACTGATGCATCTCCAGTGCCCAGATGATGGGTGCCTGTCTGGCACGTGCCGATGGAGGGAATGAAGGGATTCCAACCTCAAAGCTGCACTGAGCCAGGGAGATAGACAGGTCTTCTCTGATTGGCTGGAATGATATAACGGAAGGGATGATTTTAGAAGAGCCAAATGATCTGGGAAAGAGAAAGGGGAGAGAGGCCATTCTATTGTTTCTATGGCTTTGTTTTAGAGGGTAGCCATGGGACAGAGAGATGAAGGGAACTTGAGCTGAGTTGAGAAGGCAAGATGAGCTTTGCACAGTGGCAGTATTGTAGCCAATGAGGTTTATCCGAGGTGTGATTGTTGCTAATTGAATACTTTTCCCAATTCCCCGCCATGGTGACTTGAAATGTAGTCAGCATTGGCAATTTTTGACAGTCTCTATGGAGACTGAACAAAAAAAAAAAAGGGAGAGAAGGCAAGATAAAATGTGGCAGTGAGGTTGCTCAGATTACTATGTAAAACACTTTTAAAGAGGTTGAGTCTTTCAAGAGAAACTAGAGGCCTTTCTAGTAAATATTATACAAGATGAACAATTGTTTTTTACGTTTGTTTAGAAAGCATATTTCATTGAACTCAGAAATAAAGGACGAAACCTAACAATGCATATAAATAGATTGAGAGACAGTACAGCTTTGAGATGAAGCATCTAGACTCTGTGATCCGTAGTCAGACGGCTTATCCATTGCCCCACTGGCCCACACTGGATCCACTTCTGACTCAGCCACTAGGCTGTGTGACCTTAAGGAAATTACTTAGCTTCTCCGGGCCTCGGTTACCTCTTCTATAAAACTAACATGATATTTCCATCTACCTCATAAGGTTGTTAGGAGGATTAAATAAGTTCTATGTCAAGTGTTTAAAATAGTTCCTGGCATATATTAAACACTGTATGTATTAACTATAACTATTAAGCTGGCTGAGTTGTTTCTTCTTTTGGTAGTATTCTTGGTTGTATTAATCTACTTCTGCTAGAGACAGACAGAATCTATCTCTGCTGAACTATAGAACAACTCACATAATCCCCTAAATAGTATCCAAAGTAACAGAGCTATATTGACACTGTGAAGCCCAACAAATGTATACAACTTTTATATATCTGAATAAAAGTAGAAATAATACTATCTTCTATCCTCTTGAAAAAATGAAATTAGTAGGCTTGGGAAGCTCAAATTTTAGTTTCACCAGCAAAGTTTGTTAAAAATTTCAGATTCCTAGGCCCCATTTACAGTAATTTGGATTCATTAAATCTGTGGGAGGTCCAGGAAACTGAGTTTATAATCATTGTCCCCAGGTGATTGTGAAGTGAACCACACTTTACGAAACATTGCATTAAAGTGCTTTAAGGAACACAACGAAATAATCATTTAAGAACCCAGAGGGAGGATTTCCAATATACCTATGGTTTGCTTCTTATGGTCTGCTTACCATGTTAAATTCAGAATAAAATGTTTCTTGGACTAAATTGATACCAATAGTAAACTACCCTTGCCCAGACCTTGCCATGTAGACAACACAGGACTTTTATTTAAACCACAAATTTCAGGCCGGGCACGATGGCTCATGCCTATAATCCCTAGCACTCTGGGAGGTAGAGGCGGGCAGATTGCTCGAGGTCAGGAGTTCAAAACCAGCCTGAGCAAGAGCGAGACCCTGTTTCTACTATAAATAGAAAGAAAGTAATTGGCCAACTAATATATATATATATATGGAAAAAATTAGCTGGGCATGGTGGCACATGCCTGTAGTCCCAGCTAGTCGGGAGGCTGAGGCAGCAGGATTGCTTGAGCCCAGGAGTTTGAAGTTGCTGTGAGCTAGGCTGACGCCATGGCACTCACTCTAGCCTGGGAACAAAGCAAGACTCTGTCTCAAAATAAATAAATAAATTAAATAAACCACAAATTTCAATTTTGTAAGTCACATTTTAAAAAAGACTATGTGTTAGAGGAGCTCAAGAGTAATTGCTCTGATATTTTCTTCAATTTTACTAGTGCAAAAACAGCACATTTTATCTCTTGGCCATCTGTGTTCTGAGTATTATTGAGCTTATTTAGGGATATTGAGCATTTGCTCTACTTTTTCTTGTGGGATCTCCATGCATTTCAAGAATTAATGAAAACTCTGTGACACTGAGTCATTAGATTTAATCCCTTCTGCTATAGACTGCAATCTCATGTATTTGACTCTGCCAGCACCCAGCTCAAATTCTGTCAACCACAGCAGACTACAGGATACATCAGAAAAGACAAATCTCCTGTAACATATCTTCTTAGGACCATCCTCAGAGGACAGTGGCTGGAGGGGTTAGAGAGGTGAAAAGTGTTTAAAATCTTCAGGCTCTGAATGAAAGGGATGATCAGTTTTCATGCTTTTTATACAAATATGTATCTGCAAGTGCTTTTGTAGTTTAGACCTAGTATCAATTCACAGTATTAATCAATACTATTAATAGTATTGATACAACCCTGAAGAATTTTCCTGCAAGCTGGACTTCTCTTGAAACATTGCCTGGGCCTGACATTTTAGTGGTAGAGGCAGCAAGAAAGAGAAGGTTATGCCACAGGCCTAAAATCCCTTATCCAAATCAGTTTGGGGCTAAATGTGTCTTGGAATTCAGAAGTTTGGGGATTTTACAAAGTTAATACAGTGGATGTGCTGTATATCAATATCATGTAACACTCTCATTGGGCCCTGAAACACCCCCATTATCAAACACTAGTACTGGTTTTGCATCAAAATATATGACTACCCTCACTAATTGAGATACAACTATAAATACTTCCATGTTAGCTCAGGTGACATTTTGATCCCAAATGATTTTGCTGCAAACATATTATTCCACTGAAGAAATGCTGCAGAATTTTATTTGACCTTTTAGAGTTTGCTGTAGAATTTCAAAAACTTGCATTTCTCAAGCTAAATTTATAAGGCTAATACTTAACTATGCACTATACATATATAACCATGTAATAATGTGCATTTCGCCTCTGTGATGTTAAAATAAACTAATATAATGAGGAGGTTAAAGCCATAAAATGAAGGTAATGAATTAGTATAAGTAGTGTCATTGTGTCACAGGGCCCAGTCACATCCTATTATTGGTTAGAGGATGAATCTAGGAACCTTATGATGAGGAAAAACAGGAAACAGCAGTTCAAAGGATATCCAGAAATAATCAGCCTAACTCTCCTGCTAAAGTTTATGCCCAAAGTTGTGGCTCTTGCACTCAGTGGAAGCAGCATTGACTTCAGCAATGAATTCAGGTTCTGGGATCTGGAGGAGTTTGGGGAAACTGAGGTTATAACTATTCCCCCCAGGTGATTCTAAAATGGGTCATACTTAGAGAAGCATTGCAGTTTTTAAGAAATACAATGGAATAACCAAATTAAAAGTGAGGTGTTCACCTGCATGGTGGCTTGTGCCTGTAATCCTAGCACTCCAGGAGGCCAAGGTGGGAGGATCGAGTTAGGCCAGGAGTTTGAGACCAGCCTGATGGAGGGAGATCCCGTCTCTACAAAAAATAGAAAAATTAGCCAGACATGGTGGTGTGCACCTATAGTCCTAGCTGCTTGGGAAGCTGAAGTAGGAGGATTGCGTGAGCCCAGGAGTTTGAGGTTGCTGTGAGCTATGATGACACTGCACTCTAGCCCTGATGACAGAGTAAGACTCTGTCTCAAAAAAAAAAAAAAAAAAAAAAGAGTGAGGAGTTGTCTTCAACTGTTTGGGGTCATTGCCCTTTGGAAAAATCTGATAAAACTTTGTAGACCTTCTGCACTGTCAAATGTACAATTTGCATACCTTTCCAGGGTTTTTTCATGGAATCTCTGGAAATCCATCCAAGTCCACACAGGTGGACTTCCTGGCTATAAACTCTTTCATCCTAATGCCCAGAAACCTAGTCTGTAGGCCCTTCCCCCTCTCCCACCACAGCAGCTCTGGGCTTATCTAATTGGTGTATGGGACTCCCTATAAGATGTTTTTAATTGGTTCTGTTACTAAGTTTGAAACTGACTAATTTAGGCGTGCTTTTATGGTCCCACTGAGAACTAAAGTTTCTATGATCTTAAAAATCATGGAAAAGGTTTTGCTCCAAGCTTAGAATCCCATTTTCTAAAAATTTAAAAGCTTTTTTGCCTCACTTATTTGTCCATTTAAAAATGAAAACCAAGGTTTCTATATTCTAGGCACCTGGTATACAAACTTGTCCCTAGTCTTCATCCATGAAGGACCAAGAACTCCAGTGTCCTAGTAATTTTCTACCCTCTGATATGGTTGCTTCTCCAGACCTTTGTATTTCATAGGCCTCTGAAATTTCAAAATAAATTTCAGGGTCTGATATAGGATTGCTGATTTCTTACTTTGCCCAGTTAATTCCTCTGACAAAAACAGACACCACCCTAGTCTCACTAATTTTATAAAATGAGTATTTTTCCACTATTGTGGAATGGCAATTCTTGACAACGCTAACAACAAGGATCAGTTGGGGAACCCTTTTTAAAAAAAATGCCACTCCCAAACCAATTAAATTAGAGTATCTGTGGATTTGACCCTAGATTCTATAATTAAAAAAAGACTTGCTGAGGATCTAATGGTCAGCCAGGCTTTGGGCCAGTATTTTAGAGGAAAGGATAATTTTTTAAATTGCATACAGTTAGCTATATGGAAAAAAATTCTCATCATACTTCCTGTGGCTGGTGAAACTTTGTTTGCCACTTGGTATTCATCCATGGAGCTGTGTTTGGGAACGTCGCTCCATTTCTTATTCCACTTTGTTACAAGAATCATCTTTCAAAAACACAGGAATCACATCACTCAATTGCTTCAAAACTGTACCTATTTCCCCAAAACCTCCACCCCAGCCCCTCAGACTACTTGTGACTCCCCCAAATGCCAAGCCTGTTCCTGCCTCGTTGTCTTTGCTGGGGCTGTTGCCTCTGTAGGGAATTCCCTTCCTCACCTTCTCTGCCTGGTGATAATGCTGAATTCTTCAAAGTGCAGCTCAAATGATTCCTCCTCTGTGGGACCTCCCTCGCCCCATGTCCTTGGTAGAAATTATCTCTTTTTCCAGCATAGCCCAAGCACACCTTGCTGCCGTCAGTTATTTCCGGACAGTTTGTGAAATTCTCCAAGAGCAGGACCATGGATTGTTCATCCTTGTGTCTGTGAGTGCCTTCCACAAATACAGTCAATGAAAGATGAGCAAAGTAAAACAGTGACCACGATGAGCAAATACAGGAATGTGAGCACCCCCTCTGACCACCTGTCCATACACCCGTAGGAGGTTTGCAGGAGTGGCCACGGGACTTCAGATCCACCTCTCATTAACCCCCGAGATGTGCAAACATCAAGCAACCAGAAATTTCAGCAGTTATTTCCATGTTTGTTTATCTGAGAGCCATTTGAAAACATCAAGGGTTGATAGAAATTATACCTGATAGAAATTATGACTGATAGAAATTATACCTCTCCCCTTTCAATCTCCCAGTTCGCCAGCTTCATCGAGAGTTCCTCAGAGCTGGATCGAACGTCATGCAGACTTTCACCTTCTATGCAAGCGAAGACAAGCTGGAGAACAGGGGCAACTATGTTTCAGAGAAGATATCTGTGAGTGGAACTCGTAGAAGGTCATCGTAGACACACAGGCCATCACCAAAGCTCTCCTAGAAAAAAAATGTTGAGCCTCTTCAGAGTTTTGTTTTATTTCTAGTAATATAAAACAGAGAGATGTGAATAACAGCCTTAGGTTTTAGCTGGAGTCTCCCAAATTAACAGAAAGGCATTTAATGGAGCAGATTAAAGAAGAGGTATTTAATAATTAATTGTTCTCCTCGTCTCTTGACTAAGTTGCTGAGTAAAGTGGGCATCCTTACAAATTCTTACATCCTTATAATTTTTTAATGTGGCATAACTTCAGGGAAAAGATTATAGGTGCAAAGAGTCAGTAAACCTGGAATAGTGCCTGACTCAGCCATGACCTACTTTGTGATGTTGGGCAAACCGCTAATCCCCGTCAGGGCTGAGATTTCTTCATCTCTAAAATGAGATGGAAGTTCTAAAATTCCATGAGTCTACAGTGCTAGGTTTTTTTGGAGGGGGGAGTTTTTTTTTTCAAAGAAAACAATTAACTTTTAATATCTAAATAATTAGAAAAGAACTTACTAGTTATGCATTTAGCTGTTAGCTGAGAAAATGCATGACAAAAAAAGTCAAGCATTGTGTATTTAAATTGAATTTTTATCTACTAATCATAAAAGCAAATCATCACTACCACTATTTGGTAGGTTTTCTTCTAAATGCAATTTAGGCTTTGGAAGATGCCAGATCACATCCTTTTATGTGAAAACTTTTACCATCTCACACATCTTCAGAATAATATAATATTCTAGAAAGTACCATTAGATTTATTGTTATTATCACCATTATTAGTGTTGTTATTGCAAACTGCTCAACTTTATAAAGCATTGAACTATTCCATAGCTGTCATTTTCTGGAATAAAATCACTACCATAAACACACAACTGAGATGTAGATGTTTGAATAATAATTTTATTTTGATTTCACATGAAAAATTTGATGTATCATGTATTCACCCATTTTAGGGACGAAAAGTCAATGAAGCTGCTTGTGACATTGCCCGCCAAGTGGCTGATGAGGGAGATGCTCTGGTAGCAGGGGGTGTGAGTCAGACACCCTCGTACCTTAGCTGCAAGAGTGAAATCGAAGTTAAAAAAATATTTCAGCAACAGCTAGACGTCTTTCTGAAGAAGAATGTGGACTTCTTGATCGCAGAGGTAAACAAAGATATGATCAAAGATAAGACAAATACACACTGAGTACATTTTCTCTACCTTTTGCTTTTTGCGAGGACTTTGTGGGATCAGGTGCCAATCACAACTAGTATAACAGTAGTAACATTTAGTTTTTGAAATCTTTTTCCAATTTAGGGCTTCTGCTAAACTTGACTCAGTTAATCAAATATAGTGTTTTCCAAGCTTTCTGACTGCAATTCACAGTAAGAAATCTCCATTCTACTCTATTCTGTTTTAAAAATGCTAATGAGTCACAACTCTGAGTTTGAAAAACACTTATCTAGTAATAATTAAATTATTAAGCCATAGTATAAATTTTTTCAAATTGCTTTAGGAGAAACAAGGTTAAATTGTGCCCTCATTTTAACTTATTTCAGTATTTTGAACATGTTGAAGAAGCTGTGTGGGCAGTTGAAGCTCTGAAAGTATCTGGCAAACCAGTGGCAGCGACCATGTGCATTGGCCCAGACGGAGATTTGCACGGAGTGCCCCCCGGGGAGTGCGCAGTGCGCCTGGTGAAAGCAGGTGATGACGGATGGTGGGCAGTTTGCAACTAGTGGGTCTTAAGATAACATACCAGTGCACATCCATCTGTGAATCAGCATATACTGCTTTTGTTAACAAGAAAATCATTCATTTACTTTTTAGTAATATTAATACCGTTTTTGAGTCTCAAAGGAAAAAAGCTTTAAAAATATACAGGCACACATACACACGCACACACACACACACACACACACACACACACACACACACACACACACACCAGCCTTTTGAAAGGAGTAACTAGACCTATGCTGGAAGCTTAACACCTAGCAATGAGGTCTTTAAACATTAATAACTTCAAAGTTAGTTGCCCTCTTTGTCAATCAAAGTTTTTCATTCTCATAAATTACTAGTATGCTTTGCTTTTTGTAACTGATGTAATAAATCAGAAAATCATTTAACATAAAATACCGAACCAATATATATTTTTATATAATTTCCATTCCTAATACCGGGTCTCATTATAATTAGGAGAAACTCACAGACTATTTTCAAAACTGCCTCATTTTATTTATTTTTTTGAGACAGAGTCTCACTTCTGTTGCCCAGGCTAGGGTGAGTGCTGTGGCATCAGCCTAGCTCACAGCAACCTCAAACTCCTGGGCTCAAGCAATCCTTCTGCCCCAGCCTCCCGAGTAACTGGGACTATACAGGCATGCACCACCATGCCCGGCTAATTTTTTCTATATATTTTTAGTTGTCTGGCTAATTTCTTTCTATTTTTAGTAGAAACAAGGTCTCGCTCTTGCTCAGGCTGGTCTCAAACTCCTGACCTCGAGTGATCCTCCCTCCTCTGCCTCCGAGAGTGCTAGGATTACAGGCGTGAGCCACTGTGCCCGGCCAAAAAAGTCCTTCTTAGAGGTGGAAACAAACCAAGAGTCTATCAACAGATAAATGGGTAAACAAAATGAAGTATCTGCATACAGTGGAATATTATTCAGCCATAAAAAGCAATGAAGTTCTCAAACATGCCACAATAGGGATGACTGTTGGAAACGTCGTGCTAAGTGAGCCAGTCACAAAAGGACAAATATATGATTTAACTTATATGAAATATCTATTAATAGAATAGGCAAATCCACAGAGACAAAAAGTAGATTAGAGCAGCAGTCCCCAACCTTTTGGGAAGCAGTGACCGGTTTCATAGAAGACAGTTTTTCCATGGGACAGAGGTTGCAGGGGGAGGCGAAGCTCAGGCAATGATGCAAGCAGTGGGGAGTGGCTGTATAGAGGAAGCTTCACTCACTCACCTGCTGCTCACCTCCTGCTGTGTGGCCCCCCAGGATGGAGGTGGGGGGGTTGCTGGGAGAGGTGGAAGAGTTCTGTGACCCAGTCCCTACAGGCCATGGTCCAGGGGTTGGGGACTGCAGGATTAGATCAGTGGTTACAAGGAGCTAGGGGGAGGAGGAATAGGGAGTTATTGCTTAATGGGTACAGAGTTTCTCTTTGGGGTGATGAAAAATTTTGATAAGAATAGTGGTGATGATTATACAATATTGTGAATGCAATTAATGCCACCTAAAATGGTTTAAATGGCCAATTTTATGTGAAACATATTTTACCACAATTTTTGAAATTAAAAAGAAAAGAATAAAAGGCCTGCTTGAGAATTCCTCCCATTTTGAGAGGACGGAGTAAAAAGAATTATAATGTCATATTGCCTCCTCAAATCTTCTGGAGGATGAAATTTCCAAAATCATGTCTGACGATTGCCATGAAAAATCACCTTTGGTCCAGATATAATTAAGAACATAATGACTATAAAAAAAGCTTTTGGGAAAAAAAATGAAGTTTCAGCCATATGCAATGGCTCATGCCTGTTACTCCCAGCACGCTGGAGGCTAAGGTGAGAGGATCACTTGAGGCCAGGAGTTTGGGGCTGCAGTGAGCTGTGATCACACCACTGCACTCTAGCCTGGCAACATAGTGAGACTCTGTCTCTATGAAATAATTTTTTTTCTAATGAGGTTTCTAAAACATATTCTGTTCTCACTAAATCAAACTTCGCAGCAACAAATTTTACAAGAAAGCTTTAGGAAGACAATCCCGTGTAGTTGTGAGTCTCCAGAGTCTAAAATGTCAATGAAATGCTTGTTATTAATAAAATGATTAATAGGCTGTTAACTACATTGAGTAGCTGAAGTCAAAGAATTTTTGAGATTTTTTTTCCCCAAACTATTAAGTCTAGACCCAAAATTTCTTTGAAAAAAACACACTTCTGAAAAAGGATAGTGAAACTATTAAACTGGCCTGGTGAAAGGAACATTTATTTACACCTCAAGCAAGCAATTTGGTAAACACAGGTGCAATCTAGCAGCTGGGAGTATTGAAAAATCATTGTGCTTGCAACAAAATGTCAAACATTGAAAAATTGACTACTAACATTTGAAGTAAAAAGAAAAAAACTCTATAAATGATTTTTTTTTTTGAGAAAAGATGGACAGCCAAGTGTTCATAGATGACACTTCAATTATACCAGACTCTTCGAAGCACTTTTCACAGAAAGCACTTCCTGCCTGGTGGTAATCGTTCTTGCTCAAAGGCAAGACAGTTTGGGGAGAGTAAGGACCCAGTGCTGTACTTGCAATTCATCATTCCTAATAAAACCTTCCTGGGTAAGGGAGGAGAGTTGAGCCTGCTGGTAGCTGGTGCATCCCTAAAGCTAACATGGTCTTACCACTTGCAGGAGCCTCCATCGTGGGCGTGAACTGCCATTTTGACCCCACGATTAGTTTGCAGACGGTGAAGCTCATGAAAGAAGGCTTGAAGGCTGCCGGACTGAAAGCTTACCTGATGAGCCAGCCCTTGGCCTACCATACTCCCGACTGCAACAAACAGGGATTCATCGATCTGCCCGAATTCCCCTTTGGTAAGACAGACCATTTATAAGTAGTCTTGTCTCAATATCTTTGATAAATTTCAAATAAATCTACAGCCAGAGTTTTATCATAGTAAAGAGATGACTGCATATCTCATCTCTTGCTCTTAGTTTCTGTCCCTGCAGCCAAAACTCCTTGATACTCAACAGTAGCAGAAGGAAAAGATGAGACCACCTAGCAAAAAACACCTGTGAACTTAAACATAAAACCAGAGGATCAGTGTCTAAATAGACAACCCCATGGGTCCTACTTCTCGGCTGTTGGAAAGGATGCCCTCCAGAGGGGACTTTGTTCTGGTTCCAGCTTCATTGCTGAGTTAGGAAAATCCTTGAGCTCCTCTAGAGCTCAACTTTCTCATTGGAAAAATAAGAAGGGTAGACCAGTCACCTCCAAGGTCCTTTTCTCCAATTTTGGATGTTACTCAAATACTCCAGAGTTTGGGGGGTGGGGGCAAATTAGCATCATTGGGTGGCTGTTTAACAAATTTTAAGGGATGAAGCAGATGAAGTGAGGTAATACTTGCAGGCTAGGCGGGGGGATAAAGCTACTCAGCATGTTTGGGAAGTGGGGATGAGTCCACCTCGAAAATTGAGCCAGAGTGGTCAGCAGGGCAAAGCATGGCTGACCTCCTATTCTGTCCTAGGGTCCTTGTACCATGTCCTGTATTCTACAGACACACTCAGATAAGTGAGATATTATAAAATATAATCACTCTGGAAGAACCATGGAGAAAGAGTAGCAAGGCATTCGTGTTATTTATTGCTGTCTAACATATTATTGCAAAGCTTAGTGGCTTAAAAAAATGAGAGTTTATTATCTCACAGTTTCTGGGGGGTCAAGAATTCAAGAACAGATTTGCTGAGCAGTTTGGTTCAGGGTCCCTTAAGAGGTTGCAGTCCAGATATTGGCTGGGGCCATAGTCATCTGAAGGCCTGATGAGAATCTGCTGGGGAATCTGCTTCCAAGCTCACTTACTAACAGCTGACTGTTGGCCATCGGTGTCCATTTCTTGCTGTCTGCTGACTGGAGGCCTCAGTAACTCAGCTCACGGGCCTTCCCGTTGTGACGCTTGAGTGTTCTTACAACATGGCTGCTGGCTTCCCCCAGCCGGAGTGCTCCAACAGCGAGCAAGGCAGGTTATAATTTGTTTAGAACCTTCCCTCTGGAGTCACATGCCATTCCTTCTGCTGTCGTCTGTAGATCTCAGAGGCCACCCTGCTGTAATGCAGAGGGGACTGCACGGGGTGAGAGCATCAGAGGCAGGGGTCATTGGGAACCATCTTAAAGTCCAGATACCAAAACATGTAAAACTGGTTATATAAATACAAGGTAGCTAGTAGTTTTAAAAGTTTAAGAATTGAATACTGGACAACTTACATAATTCATTCATTGAAAATTACGTACCTATAGCTATTTATCTTGAAATTTTTTATATAAAGCATTCATAATGCATAATGACATAATGCCATGTATTACAGGACTGGAGCCCAGAGTCGCCACCAGATGGGACATACAAAAATACGCCAGAGAGGCTTACAACCTGGGGGTCAGGTACATCGGCGGGTGCTGTGGATTCGAGCCCTACCACATCAGGGCAATCGCGGAGGAGCTGGCCCCTGAAAGGGGATTTTTGCCACTAGCTTCGGAAAAACATGGCAGCTGGGGCAGTGGTTTGGACATGCACACCAAACCCTGGATTAGAGCAAGGTAAGGGACCTTTAAGCTACATTTACTAACCCAAACTCAATTAGATTATGAATATGTCCAAGCGAGACCATTAAAAAGAATATAACTAATTTGCTATGTGATGATGAAGAATCAGTCATCTTCCTTAAATTCTCTCAGAGATGTTTATAAAACATCCTTATGGGCTGGTCCGAAGGTAGTGAGTTATCTCACGTGATTGTTCACAGTCAGTTACAGATTGAACTCCTTGTTCTACTACTTTCCCCCCTCCTCACTACTGCACTTGACTAGTCTTAAAAAAATAAAAAAATAAAAAAACATCCTTATGGGGTGATTTCTGGAGAAAGCTTTAAGAATGTAGAATGTAAATAATGTACGTGGCAGTTAAAAGTGATTTGATGCTCAAGTAAAGCATCATCCATGTGGTGGATACTAACATTGAATTGCATTGATTTTTAAGGGTTAAGTATAACAAATACTGATTGTTCTGTGTCAAGCATGATTTTCAGAGCTGGGAACACAAAAGTAAATAAGATAGGCAAGATCTTTGCCCTGAGAGGTTATATTGGGGTGGAGGGGGTGGGGGGATATTAATAATAAACAAACAAATTTTATGTCAGGCACTGGGCAGGGCACTGACATAGAATTTATAGAAATGGTTCCTGACTTAGAGACCCTCATAGTATACTGGGGAAAATGGGTAAGGAAGCCAATGCGTTATACTGTGGTAGCTGCTTTAGTAGAGATATAAATAGAAAAGTAAGAAGAGAAGAGAATGACTATTGCTGCCTAATAGAAAGATAATTTAGAAGAAGGGTTTTGGGGGCTGGGTTTTGAAGGCTAAGTAGGCCTCCACCAGGTAGAGAAAGCAGGGGAGGGAGGATGGATGCTCCGAGCAGAGAGAGCAGTTCTGCTCTGTTTAGCAGACATTAACTGAGCATAACTATCTATCAGACGCTGTTTTGGATCCTGAGATAGCAAGCTGAACAAGGGACAGCCCTGTCCCCAAGGAGCTAGGAATCTAGTAGGCAGAGAGATAAACAGGTAAAGTCCAACGAGTACAGTAAGTTCAAGGATGAAGGTACTCACAGGTGTGCAGGGTCTGAGGTGATGGCCCACATGGGGCAAAAGGCAGAGCCAGGTTAGTGGAGGGTTTCTAAGAAAGCTGACACCTGAGCTGAATTTTGAAAGAGGAATTAAGTTGCCAAACAAAGGAACAGCCTGAAGGAAGACACCGAGAAGTGGAAAGAGAATGATGTATTGCGAAACTAGAAGTTTGAGAATACCAGAGACAGAATTTGATGGAAAACATATTCCAGGAGGAGGCGGCCTTTTATTCATGCTCAGGAGCTATGTATGAGCTCATGCCAAAGGCAGCGAGGAGCCTGGAGGGTCTCAAGCAGCCCAGGGAGGTTAGATTTGCACGTTAGTGAGTTGTGATAGCCTTGTGAGGAAGCCTTGCCAGGAGGGATGCCAAGCATGCTGAAGTTCAAACTATAAGGCACAGTCTGCGGGGTCAGAAGTGCAAAAGCAATGTAGGCTTTGAGGAAGAGCAAGGAGGGTGGACTCAGCTGGTGAAAGTGGAGAGGTAGCATACATGGGATAGAAAGTGTCCCTATTCTAAATTATCCCGATACATATATTAAAAGAAGAAATTCAAAGTAATTTTAGATCTATATGTTCTGGGGGTGGGGAGTTTTCGTGCAGATTAATAAGTGTGTTTTAATGGACATCCTCTTAGAGGGCAAAGATGGCTGCATGACACAAAGACAGACACTAGGAGAGGAGTCTGATGTTGTGTGTCTTGTTCACGCAGGGCCAGGAAGGAATACTGGGAGAATCTTCGGATAGCCTCAGGCAGGCCATACAACCCTTCAATGTCAAAGCCAGATGCCTGGGGAGTGACCAAAGGAACAGCCGAGCTGATGCAGCAGAAAGAAGCCACCACTGAGCAGCAGCTGAAAGAGCTCTTTGAAAAGCAAAAAATCAGATCTGCAGAGTAGCCTCAATGGAACCTATTTTTGGTGAATAGCCTGATGTTTGGGCCACAGTTCCCATACGAATAAGGAAAAAAATAGTTAAAAGGCAATGCTTGTATTAATGCCAGCCTACACATAGAACTGGTATTAGCTGAAGGAAATAGACTTACAAATATAACTTGATAACTTTAAAAGTATATTTTAGAAATTTACTTAGAAGCAAAATAAGTACCAAGTAAATCTTAAACAGGTTTACTAAGCACCCACCATGTATAAGGCATTATGGAAATCACTGCAGCAAAGGAAAAGTAATTCAGACATTAATCCCACTTCAAGAAGCTGGTAGGCTAGCAAGGAGGATAGGACAGGACTGTCATAAATGACTCGGCAACCAGCCAGGGGCAGATAAAGTGCTATGGGAAGTAGCCTCCAAGCTCTTTTGAACTTGACCGTAGGAAACACAATTTAATAATGACACAGGAAAATAGATAGCATATAACCATTGAAATCAAGTGTGATCCATTCTGGTATTTTCTGTTCTATTCCTTTCCATTCTATTTCATTAATAAAACATGCTGGTTGAGACCCTTCAAATTGAGTTTTATGACCTGTTAATGGGTTTTGACCCACAGTTTGAAAAACATTGCTATGGGATACTTCAGGTGGGGACCATCGTACTTAAGTGTATTCTTATAAGAAGATTACTCATATAGGACCTGATCAATAGGTGCCCAAAGCCCAGAGTCCTGCTCTCAGAGTTCTTCTATTCCCTGACCCATTTTTACCGCTAGGAAACACAGACCAATAGAGAGGAAGAAGAGATTGTTACTTCGGCCCTCTCCATCCTGGATCAAAACTGGATCCACCTAATGCCTCCAGTCCATAAGGCTGAGGAGGGTGACCTTGTGTTAATTTATAGCTTAAAAAAAAGTGTAATAAGAAAAAAGTAGATTCTCCAAACTCTAGCTGGGTTTCCTAGATTGAGAACTATGATATTTCTACCTGCTAATTTAATATCTGCTCTCCTATGAGAGCTCAAGCCTAAAGATGCAAGACTACCAGAATAAGCATGGCTACCCTCAAGGTGTTAGAAAAAAGTTCAAGCTGCTTTCTAAACATTCTTGGATGGGTTGAGTTATTTTTAAATTGTAATTTTTTTCCAGTTATTCAAAAAGAAGTGCAATGAGACCATTTTGGTTGAATTTGATTTGTTATTTTAGTTCTACAATTTGCTAAATCTTGTATGAAGTTTTTTTGTTTGTTTGTTTGTTTTTTTGAGACAGAGTCTCACTCTGTTGCCCCAGCTAGAGTGCCATGGCGTCAGCCTAGCTCACAGCAACCTCAAACTCCTGGGCTCAAGCAATCCTTCTGCGTCAGCCTCCCAAGTAGCTGGGACTATAGGCATGTGCCACCATACCCAGCTAATTTTTTCTATGTATTTTTAGTTGGCCAATTAATTTCTTTCTATTTTTAGAGTGAGACGGGGGTCTCACTCTTGCTCAGGCTGGTTTCGAACTCCTGACCTTTGAGGGATCCACCCGCCTCGGCCTCCCAGAGTGCTAGGATTACAGTCGTGAGCCACCGCGCCTGGCCTGTATGAAGTCTTATAGCTCAATTTCTCTATCTACCAAAATAATAATCTACTTCATAAGTATGCTAGTATTTTAAAGGAGCAGGTGTCAGTATTTAAAGGGAAAAGAAATTTCCAGCACAACTTTCAGAAGAATATGGCTGAGGTGAAAGAAAAGTGAACTAACTCCACATTTTTTCTGCAAAGTTGCTATCTACCATTTCTGTTATATTCTCAAACCAAGTTCAACATTTAAAACTTTCACTCATAGATGATAGAAACTTTATTGGACTTACTGTTCTATTACTGAGCAAACTGCACGTCCCTTTAATATTCTTTTTCAGAACTTTATTGCCACCAAAATATTGTAACCTTTAATCATCCTAATATTGATTAATTTGAAAAATATTTCTCTCAAGGCTGGACACGATGGTACACACCTGTATTCCCAGCTACTCGAGAGGCTGAGGCAGGAGGATAGCTTGAGCCCAGGAGTTTTAGTTTGCAGTGAGCTATGATGATGCCACTGCACTCTAGCCCGCGTGACAGAGTGAGACCCTGTCTACCCCCAAAATAGTTAATTAATTTAAAAACTAAAAGTTAAAAATAAGAAAATAAAAAGTATTTCCCTGCAAAGGAGCTATATTGAAGAAATTCTCAATTAAACTGTAGTCAGCGCTGCCTTCTAGTGGTATATTTAATATTTTGAAAAATTTTTAATTTAGCCCCTCCTCCAAGCACATTCATTTTATTTCCAGAAATCTTGTTCATTAAAAGGCAAAGCTCATTTAATAGCTAAGAGTTTGTTTATGTTAAATAGACATTTCTCATTAGTAAAGATTTTTTAAGGACTCCGAGCCAGAGGGCCCTTAGGAGATCAAAAGTCCAGAGTCTCCCTTTTAAGGATAAGATTACTGAGGCAGGATGCCAAGTCAGGAAGCACTTCTTGCTAGTCTGAGGCTGCCAAGAAAGATGGCTTTAGCCTAGCCTCTCGGTAGAAGGAGGGGGGAACCAGAACAGATGGTTCACAAAACTATGGAGTCATCCTCCGGCCAGGAAATAAAATAAAGGGATTGGTGTTACTCGGAGTCCACATGAACTCACTGAATTAACTGCGCTGTGTGGCTGACACTTCTCGGCACTGTAGCCAAGCACCTCTGGGTTAGGCGTCCAGACCAATGCAGACCCATCATGGAGACAAGAACTGGATGAGGACCGACCAAAAGCTTCAGTTTCCGACTTCTCCAGAGGGGGGCAGCAGGGCCCCAGCAGGGAACTCGAGCATAGCCTCACTTTGCTTTGAACTTATGTCATCAGGATAGGCAGTAACATTAAATGGCAGAAGTCTCTGTAGCCCTCTTTTTTGTTTTGGTCAGTTTTTTTTTTTTCCCTAAGACACACAGATCTTTGAATCCCATCCAGGACAACCTGCCCAGCAAGGAAAGCCTTATGTGTCTCCAGCCAGATTCCAGTCTTCCCCAGAGACTTTTTCCCCTAGCCTTGAGCCCACAGATGGGCTGGAAGGCATGGCAGTCTGTGTCCCCAAATAGCCTCTGCTACTTGTCAATACCATCTGCTCAGCCAGTAGGAACCTCCCACGTGTTACCTGCTGGGTCAACAGCCCTGACTCTTAGACAAGAAACGAGGAAGAAGTCAAATCGAAGAGAGAAAAACAGAGAGGCCATAGGTACTGCTTCAGGGGTAGTATGCCCGATGGGGTGTTAAACGACAGCATTGGAGATAACAAGGGCTGATATTTCTTAACATCCTCAGAAACCACTGTTTAGTGTCTGGACAGAAAACAACTGAAGGCAGCTAAGTGCAAAGACTTCTCACAAACAGTGACAGGAGGTGGGGAGGATCATTTGGCGAAATTGGTGGGAGTGTGGTGAAGGGAAGAAATGGCCAGAAAATGCTTGCACTTTGCAAGCAGCTGGAGGCATTCTGTCGGCATTGGATAGATAGAGGATGCAAAGAGAGACAGATGTCTTCATTAGCGCCGCTGTGAGTTACAGAAATCATGCCAAACAAGTAGAGTTCTCCCAAATCCCTCCACTGGCATAAAAACAAGTTCATTTCTGTGCCATCAAATCAAGCGCATGATCGTTTTAACTTGTGGTTTGATGTTTGCATTTAAATCTGTGAAAGCTTCCTATGTAAACTTTTACATAAAATGAGTTTGAGGGAAACATTTAGCTTACTTTTAATGAAAATGGTATTTCTCCAAATGCTTAAAATATCTATAGCAGCCATCACTTAAAAGCAAGTTTGTAATTATTCCTGATTGTTCCTTTAAGCAGGTTCAGTAAGATCTCTACTTAGCCCCATTCTGTGGTTATTTGTACCAATTCAGTGCATGGCCTTGAAAGGAAAAGGCTGAATATCTTTTTAAATAGTTCAAACTTTTCCTCTGTTTGGAGGAATTGGCCATCCTTCCAATTATTTGGACTTAATGAGATTTTACTGTTTTTTGGAAAGGCTAAAGTATCAAACACCTGAAGTAGCTTAATGGAATTCAGCCATTTCTCAAAAACACTAGTGGAACGTAGTAGAAAAAGCAAGGAATGCAGTTAGAATCAAGAGTTAAGGGCACAAGAGCTAGCTTTGCCCCACCTCCCTGTGAAAACAGGGTAAACACCTCGCTTTTCTGGTTTATTCATCTGTAGGATGACAAATCTCTAATGCCTTGCTGAAAAACTCCACAATTTTGTTTCTAATTTGATGGTATAAATAATACCCTCATCATTGTCAATAAATATTTACTGCGTGCCACTTGGCAATGTGTTGCCAGCAGACTTAATTGTTCATTAATTATTCCCCTGGCTAAACAGACAGCGGACTAAAACAAATACCACTGTTCAGAGGGCAAGGATAATGTTATTAGCCTAGACTCAGCCTGGTACTGAAAAATGGAAATGTCATTCGTCCCCACAGGTACTGTTTGCTAAGGAGATTTGACTCTGTGGATTTTCATATTATGAACTGTTTCTATTTTCAGGACTCCGAGTTCTTTATAGGTTTGCTTAAGCTGTAGAAGTTCTAAAAACCGTCAAGTGGGTAATTCTTGGTTTAGAGTCCTTCATCTACCTAGAAAGGGAGAGAACAGGCTTCTCACATTTTGAAAATAAGTAGTAGAGTTTGGGAACTAGAAACCTCAGAATTTTTTCCTTCTATAAAGCCAATCCCGGCAGCTTGATGACTTCCAGGTTTATGTTCGCAGCCTGGACCACTCGAAAAAACATAGGCACATGACATCAGTCTGGCCTGTAGACCCAAGCCAGCAGTCCCTCCCTGAGCCCTGAGCCCTTTGCACGCCATCCAGGGAAGGTGTCCCCAAATCTGATTGCCAGAGGCACTTTCCTCAAAATGTTCTAAGTTCCCTTTCACTGGCTGGGACTGGCCAGGGCCAGCTGTGCCATCCGGGAGGGGCACCCCAGCCGGACTGGTCAGCATGGGACCCAGTCCTGGGGGTTGTCTCCTTCTGGGTGCTCAGGGACCCTCTACATCCCCTTTCCATGTCCCTCACCTCCACCACCCTTCTGGAGTGGCCAAGTACCCCAAGAAGCCCCAGGATCCATGTTGGCTCTGATTCCAGGAGGGGGCCCTGGGAACAGGATGGCTCCCACTGGCAGGCATGGTGTTTCTGTCTCAAGATCTGGTGAGACTGGGCGGCCCAGTATGGTACTGACATTCTGAGTTTGGGTGACTCACATCAGACACAGGACAAGTTCCGGGCTCTGGCCACCAAAGGTCCACTGCTGGCCCTTGCCTTGAGCAGCATATGTGGGCCCCTGTGTGGGCTCTCACCCGTGGGCTGCCACACTCACAGGGCTGGCAACAGGTGTTCTTCACCCACAGGCTCCACTGCACCTGTTGGGCCAGCCTCTGCAGGTGGCTGTGTCTCATCCTCTGGGGGCTTCAGTGCCGACAGACAACACCAGTAAATGTCCCCAGCCTCTCACAGAACGTGGTGCTGCTGTGGTCTCCAGGTTGGCATTAAGTCGTGCAAGTGACAGGTGGACAT